GTCAGGTTTCGTGGCCTCAAAGATGACTTTTTTTATTCATCTTACATTCACTTTGAATGTCTTCACCGTGATCCTCTTGAATGTTGACCAATGTGCCGCATTAAGAGGGGGAACAAAAAGATCAAATTAGGTTGTTCCAGTCGGTGAAATAAAAGGCGATTCATAATACATGTAATATTCAGGTATCGAGATTCAGAACGTGCAAGCAAATCTCTCTTAATTCGTCCACTTAAATTCTCTAATGCAGCGTTTTTCCTTCTGAATCTGGGATGAAGCCCAAAGGCGAATCTTGGGGGAAAATTACGAAATTTGTATGCAAATCTATCGGCTGCGTTGGCAAGGTTTCCCCGAGCATCTGCAAAGTAAGTAAAAAATGATGGTAGACACACAGGCTATTAGCCTAAAAACATCACACAGTTTGGTGAATTAGCTCACATAAGTGTCTGTTGAGGCGTATTTGAGTTATAATTGGAGGATCCTGAATGCTGGCAAGCCACTAGTCACTGTGTTTTTAACATCTTTAATCCGGCTTTAGTATTCACCTCTTATGCTTCTACTCTCACCATCTGGTGCTGAATTAGGTCTCGATTCATAACTCTTTACTTTGCGAGATAATTTATGCTTCATTTCAATACAAATATTCATCCTTCGTAGTCAGAATTACCGCGCGAGTGTGTCTCTGCAAGACTCTGAAAACATTTCCACATATCTGGAAGGGTTACAGGTGCCCGAGCGCATGCAACTCACAGCTTCCTTTCTGTTTCCAAGACAGCACAGCCGCCTTCTATCTTGATTATGTTGTGTGGAGTAGATAAAGCACTTTTGGCTCCCCAGCCTTGCCCTCGATGCGATGTATCCCGCAGATGCAAAGAGCAATTTCCCAACATGTGAAACTCGCGCATCGCCCCTGAGGTGAAGCGTTTAACAAGAAAAGGAAACAAGCCTGCCGGGACCACATATAGCATTCTGCTTGACTGAGTGCTCCGCGCTAGGCCGCTAATTGCCTGCGATTGATGGAGAAAAGCGCGAGAGGAAACGTTAAACTTGCAATGCATCACGGGTAGTTGACCTATGTCGACCGACTCTTGTCTGTGCCTCGTGGCGGCGTTCTCTTCCCTGCGTAGGTGGGGGTTATTGGAACATCTGAGGCTTGCATGTGTGCGTGTGTGTGTGTGAATTTCTGCACAAACCCTTTGTGGCTCTCACAAGAGAGAAAACACTCAAGCTGCAATCAAAAGATTCCTTTTTGAGCCACTTTTGGACTTTAGTGTCGCATTTTTAGAGGATGATGGGAATGAGGTGTGTGTTCGAGCGATCGATGGTTCCTGCACCTTGTTGGTTTAAATTAGTCCTCACGATCACCTTGTTAGGAGTGTTTTGGAGGAAATTCAAAGGGGGCTGTCCCCCTTGTTTAGTCTGAGCACAACACCCACAAGTCAGCGGTGGGCAGCTTCTCCGAGCGGCATCCTTCAGCTTCTGTATTTGTGATTCTGAAACGGAGCGCAGTCGACGCGGAGGGGAAATGCAGGTGTTTGTGTGCACTTCCCCTCCGGACCTCGCCTCCCTTCTTGTCTCCCTGCTTCCTCCCTCCTCCTCCAGCATACCGAGGAATGCACATAAATATTGATTTAGAGAGCTTTCAGAAAAAGAAAAAAGAAACCAATTTGATGGCAACGGAGGGAAATGAAATAGTGTAAAAAGGGAAAGAAAATGACTGAGAAAGGGCAGAGTAATCCTTTAATTTAATTAGGTAAATTACAACAAAGACTTTCTAAGACTTGTTTTTTTCTTTTCTCTCCACTTTCTTCCGCCTGCTCTCTCCCTTGCTCCCGCTGGAAGGGTTTCCTTCGGTCGCTAAGCAACAAGGAAACAGTTTTTCTTTGGTTTTGCCAGCGCGTCCCGGAGGTTGGCAGGGAGAAGGGGGCACAGTGGAAGCACTGTGGAGTCTGCCAGAAGCCGAGTGCATGCCTACAGCTGGGTCGGGTCCCCCCCCCCCCCCCGATTCCCAGTCATAGCGCCCCTGGCAGGCTTCCCGGGGTTATGACGGAGCTAATGATATATATCGAGGCACCCCGGCCCCCGAGCAGTAAACACGGGGGGCCACGGCGGGGTCGGAGTGATGAAACGGCACGACTTCCAACCACGGGGCCGGATCAACAACGTCCCTGGAGAAGAAGGAGAAGGCCTGTTCTGTGCACTTTATTTTTAGAGGCTGAGTCACAAGTTGCACGGAGTTGCATAAAGTTGCACAACCTGCTAACTCTCAAACAAACCTGACAAAAAAAAAAGAAATCACAAAACATATGACAGAGAGTGATTTCACCGAGGGGGTTTTGACAGGCGGTGGAGTTCCTCACAATAGAAACCCTCTTTGCAATAAGTATGCTAATCAAAGCCTCGGCTGAAATGAATCCTACTCCTCTTTTATTATGTTGTTCCTTCACTCCACAGGTGATTGACACATTGTAATCTTGCTAATAAGCACCTCCAGTGTCTCTTTCCTTCCTATTGTGTTAGCGCTACAATACGCCAACTCAGCAGGTGCAGGCGCGTATGCAGAGCGCTCGATATAGAAGCGAATCTCGGTTACCGGCTATTATCCTGAAACGCAGGCCCTCCACATGCGGTGGCCTGACTGTCAGTCTCCACTAAGCGTCCCCCAGGGGTCAGCAGCCAATCCAACCCCACACTGCTCATTCCGTCCCTCCCTCCCAACCAATCATCTGGCCTGTCTCTGGTCATTAGGATGTCTCCGTAGCTGCTTCATAAGCCTTTCCATTTATACCCTGGACTTTAATAATATGTCTAAAGAGTGTTTGAAGGCATGACAGTGTTTCTGCTTTAAGCAACAAATCCCAAAACTCTGTTGCGTCCACTTGTGGGAAGCCGGTGAGGGATCATATCCTTGTTGCTGCACGAACTTAGACTGTATTCTGGGTGGAAATACATCCCCCTTGAAACGTAATTGAGAGTGAAGTTTAGTGGAATGGGAACGACATTGTGCAGGAGACAGGGCTGTGTGCAGAGGAAACAGGAAGCTAGAGGGGAGATAATATATTTGACACCCTCCTGGTGACGCCTCTTGCCTGCACACGTGAAAACAAGTGGCGGTCGACAGTGTGTGTGTGCCGCCAAAACCTGAAGAAAAAGAAAGAGCAAACCGCTTCAAACCAAGCCTGCCATTGTATTGTACAACCATGTAATCATATCTACCCCCCCCCC